TGCTTCCAGTCTGTATGCTAAGTTAAGCTAATCACCACCCTGTTACAGCTCTGAACTTTAAGCAGCTCAACGCAGTATAAATCTACTTTGAGTCAAAATTCAAGATATGAACACACAGAAAACTCAGCTTCGAGAAGCTTTGATCTAAAAATACTTGTATCATCATCATCACTAGTTTTAAAAAAAGAAAACTCAGCTAAACACTTTTGGCAATTCTACTGTGCAATAATGATAATCATTTTGATGTGCAATAACATGTCCAAACCTTAATATCTTCATCTTCAGTTTTAGCCATGGATAAGTACTTATTTACCTGCTATGTCACTTTTGCTGTAAATGTCCCCGCTTGGGACTAATAAAGGGATTCTGATTTAATCACCAGATCTATCAAGCTCATGTATCCAACATGAGCTTGTGTTCTCAGCCTTTTCCAAACTAAAGGATAAAGACAGCAGGAAAACGTTGCATTCAGGCAGCTGTGAGGCGCTTTTATCACCCACTGACACTCACTCTGAGCCGGCAGCCACACAGCTGATCCCCCCCGCCCCCGGTGACCCCTTCTCTCCTTGCCGGGGCACCCCAGGCACCCAATTGGAGAGGCCAATCTGCAAACTGCTGCTGAAGATGGATGGATAACTTCATGACGATGCATTTTCTGCTACCCTTGACAAGAGGTTACTGATAATAAAAACACTTTGTGGCGTGGATCAAAAGTGCTCGTAGAGTGATTCAGTAGAGATAGAAGGCAGGCTCTTAATTTATATTAGAGTCCATGTTGTATTATGTTAATGTACTCACTTGCATTCATTTACTGAAATGTCTTATAACTGTGTGCATTTGTTTAATGAAATAAGTCGATAAATAAAAAGTATTAAAGAGAAAACAAATTCACAAGCTTCATGGCAGTAAAGTAAAAAAATATAGCTCCTTCTTTACCAGCTGCACATTAAAGTGGATGCACACATAAATGCTTCAATAATTATAATTAAGCGAATAATAACACGTTTATCACTCTGAAATTGGCTTTTGTACAGAACGCGTACTATTTTTAGTACTTAATTTCTACACTGTGGTATTACTACAGTATAGTAGAGTATTTTGTCAATTTTTACCACTGAGAATACTAAAAAAAGAAAACACGGTACAGCTTTCTGTATAAACATATGCTGTAAAAACATCCCTTCCTTCACGCATGCTGCACATCATGCGTAGCTCAGCTGAGCGGAGTGTGATGAAGCGTTGAGGCAGAGGGAATCACCAATATAACAACATGTTGACATGTGTGTGACATCTTCCGTAATGATTGGTAGATGTCTAGATATCAGCCAAATTGTACAAAATAACCCTGCGTTTAAGTTACTTAGTAACATGACTACTCCCAGGAGCCAATTTCCATGATCAGACATATGTAATCTATGTACTGTAGGGAATATCTAGTCGAAGAAAAAAGACAGCACGACTTCTAACACTCAACCAAGGCTGAAGGGAAGTAGCATTCATGTAGCAGAGAATAAAAGACTGCTGACAAACTGACCGCAAAAGTCTTAACAGGGGTTTTAAAAAAACGTATTAAAAAAAATGCAGTTCAATGCAGATACTAGGATGTCTTGGTGTTACAGCATGATGGAAAAAATGGTTTGCAAGGAATTAGTGATGGATTCTAAACAATGGGAATGTAGCATTTAAGTTATCCTCGGTTAGGTTGTTTTTTCGTAAATCAGAAACTGATGACGCAGCACTGAAATATTTTCAAAAGGCTTTTTTCTTCCAAAAGATATTTCAAAGGGGCTTAACTGCACTAATACGGCTGCCATAACAAAATACAGGTGCATGTTTAGATTTTATCAGGGTTAAAATCCCCCTATTCCCTTTACAAAATACCTCAAATGTCATGATTGCTCATGCTGAACAGGGCGATGGTGGTGTGTGTGCAGTAGTAACAGGAGTGCAGTCCACCACACACAGGCAAACACCACACACCCAGCGACCAGGGCTCACATACACGGAATGTTTTTAGTGTGCTACCTATGTGTGCTACACTGTGAGCACTGGGGGCCGTGAATGAAAACATGCTGGTAGAGGGATGTATCAGATGTTTGTCCACTCGTGAAAAAAAAAGGACATGTTGATCCAAGATCTAACTGTGGCTTCTTCCTGAAAATAGGCCTGTGAGTTCCAGCCCAGCAAGTGCTTAGCTTGGCACTTTCCCCACCGTTCTAACTACAGCCTCTGCAGGGTTTTATGGAGTGTGTCGGATGCCTATAGCTGCTTTTGCATCTATGAAGGCTTTGTGCAGATAACTACATAACAGTGTAGGGATGGCAGGCGGACTGAATGAGCCTTTGAGGGCTGTTACTGATAGCTCATTTGGACTGTAGCTGCAGCAGGAACATATATATATGTTTCAATACAGAAAAATCAGTAGAAAAAGGAAACGAAAAAGCACGATGTAATCAACCATTCGCCGATACGTTTGTCGAATCCTAACTTTTGGACGTGATGTCAACATGGTGTTAACATGTAGTTCCCCTGACAAATCAATATCCATGTTCACACACAGTGCATATTCTATGTACGTAAAAAAGCACCACTTCTAACACTCAACCACTGCTGAAGGGAACTAGCATGTAGCAGGTAATACATTATTAGACTAGCAAACTAACAGCAAAAGTATTTTACATGTTGTTCCACTTCCCTCCTCACTACCACTCAAATCGCAGTTTTTAAGTCAACCCAAAATGTAATCAGTTCGATAAAAAATTAATCTTAGCATGCCATGGTGTATTGGCGATATTAGCCCTTGTTTGTCAATTAAAAGAGTTATTCATAAGCTAGAAAAGCTAACATGGGCTGTGGTTCAAAGTCTGCGTTTTTTAAGCCGGTCATACATTTCCTGTATGGCTTCAGAGTAGTAAAGCCATGGAACCTCAAATAGACAACCACCAGATACTAAAACAGAAACGTCCATAGACTCATTCCCAGAAATGTGGACACAATAGTGAGAGAAAGGGGCTCCTCTACTCTCTGTATTTACTTTCAGAGGAATTCCCGTTATGCCCTTTGGCTTCGACTCAAGCGCCCCACCCTGGGCTTCCTTTAATGATCCCGTTTCATCAGCATCTTCCAAACAGGCCGAAGCGCTTCGCTGGTCATTACCTACAACTTTTAGCTCTTGTTTACAAGCCTTCAGGGGTAATGATTATTCAGTTAATCCATCACAGTAACAGCTGGTCAATAATTAATCTTCTTTTAATATGGTAATATGCTAGTGGACACTACTTTATCTAATGCTTTGGCTATGCTGATATGATGGTAAGAGTGATCATTTATTATCATTTTTATTTATTTGGGGGAATTCCATTCCTCTCAATCCACCTTTTATGCTATCAATATTTTCTACTTTTCCGCTAATGATCACATTTGATTAGATTTAGAAAAAAAGGCATTTGGCAGATTTCTCCCTGTATGACTGCAGAGCTCTGACGCAAAATGCCAGCTCTTGTGAGAAGAACTTGCTCCTGTGTGTTAAACCTGTCAGCAAACCCAACCGCAACTATACCCAATGACCCCTACCCCCCCAACCACCACCACCACCACCACAACAGGATATTTCTCAGTGGCACAACAGAGATATGGGTGTATGGAACATGTAGCGGCAGGCCAGGGACAAAGATTCAGAGAAGAATAAAAACAGTAAGAGGTGGGAGGGCGATAGGATCTCCTGGCGCACAGAGAGCGGGTCTGTGTTTGCGTTGGCCTGCCTCATATACAACACTATTGACATAACTCAACTTTCTTTAGCACTACAGGAGACGCTTTTACACTGGAGAGGCCTTACCGGGAAAAAACCTCACACAAGGGTGGAGATGCCTAAAGGAATGGGAAGAGGAATGGCCGATGGTCAGAAACGGTTATTGTGCAGAAGCCAAAAAGATGGATATGCTGAAATGAGTATGGGAAAAGAAAGCTGGCTGAATAGAGATCCCTTGCTTCAAACAAAGTGTGAATAAAGGGAGTTGACCTTCTATTGCTCCTAACCAAGGTCACATTCTCAAAAACTACAGTACTGAATGTTTTCCTAGTTAAACAAGGTCGGAGCCACCATGACTTCCACCTTTGTATTTTGATATGCGATCAAGATCTGCAGTAACAGAAAGGAGCTATAGAAAAGTTACTAATCTTTTGGACCACAGCGGATAGAGCCACAGAGCTGCCTGGGATTATATGCTGCATCCCAAGAATGATAATAACAGAGGGAGGCTGCAATTAAATTCAGGTGTCTCAGTGTTTGGGTTAGCGTTGGAGCAGAGAAAAGCACTTGTTCTGCTTCACGAGAGGGGACAGAAAGCTTTATCAGCGGTACGTCTCTCTGCAGGGTTAATGACAAGGCTCGATGCGTACGTGTCAGCAGCGAGGGCCCGAAACACTGAGGCAACACCTTTCCCAGAAGCCCCTGGACGGCATCAAAGTCCAAAGTGTTAGTTGTGAGGGCGCCGAGGAAAAACCTCCTCTTGAATTCCTGACCTAGCAAAACATGGCCTTTTGTGCTATCAACAACACATATTTGCATCTCTGCAGCCTTGGCCTACATTTGAGAGTCACATGACTGCAAAAACATGCGTCGTTATACCACTGCTTTGTCATGATGTTGCACTTAAAATGGGCATTTATTACCCCAAGACTGGACTTAATATCATGATACATGAACAAAAGTTAAGAGGTTATTCATGACAATTACTGAGCCTAATGAGATGTTTGAGTTAATCATTCTACTGGAGCCTTACAGTGGAGTTAAACAGGTTGCCTTTGTTCTAGATGTAGCCTTGTAAACACACAAAAAAAGCAGTTAACTGACTTGTATGAAGTACACCATGTTCCATCACTGCCTTGGGCCATGTGGCTGTGCACAAGGTCCAATAAATATGTCTTGTTCTTTATTTTCATCAATCCAACACTGTGAGACTGGGTTTAAATGTTAAAAGATATATTGAAGGACTTACTGTTGTTGGACTTGAGATCTCGATGGATGACGGGGACGATAGCCTCGCTGTGCAGGTACACCATCCCTCTGGCTATCTGCACGGCCCAGTTGACCAAGATGTGGGGCGGGATACGACGCCCTGCCAGAGCTCGGCTCAAAGCCCCCCCAGAGGCGTACTCCATGATGATGCACAGGTTGGGTTCCTGCAGGCAGACGCCTTTCAGGGCGATGATGTTGGGGTGGGTGAGCATGGCAAACAAACGGGCCTCCTGCCTGACATTCTGAGCTGTCACGCTGATATCCTCATCCGGGTCTTGCCGTGCGGCCTTCACAGCAACCAGCAGGCCTCTCCATGTACCACGATACACCTTTCCAAAGCCCCCGACCCCGATGACCTCCTCCAGTTTCAGATCCCGGAAATCCAGCACGTCGGGTTCGAACTGGCTAACCACAGCCGGGGTAAGCTCTCCAACCACGGCAGTGCACGGGAGCTTTGCAAATTCAGTTGGCTTGAAAGAGCCATAGTTAGATGGGAAGATGCCCACCTTGTTGTTGACCTTACCCGCCCACCAGCCATCATCGCCTGATATCTCAGAGTCCAGAGACAGGACTTCCACCAGGTCACCTTTACGCAAGGTGAGCTCATCTTTACAGGACGCCTCATAGTCGAATAAGGCCGTCCACACAGGGTTGGGGAAATTCCCTTTTTGTGATTGATCCAAATTTTTCCAGTTGGACAGTGGACCACGACTCAATATGTTCTTCAGTGGCTCCATGGAGCCTCAAGCAGATGTTTTGACTGGATCTGATTTTGCACCCCAAGGGTTTGAAAATAAAGTACAAAGGAGTACTTTATTGCGCCTCGCTCCCTTTCCTGTCTTTTTTGTTGGTTCATGAGGGACCAGTGAAATGTGTTCAAAAGCTCGACCAACAAGTGGGCTGCAGGAGAGGATTCACAGATAACTGAATAGTAAGTGTCTTTCATTCGTCTTGACATTACATGTTAAGCTCTCCACTCGAAAAATACAGAATCAGTTGAGAGGTTGCTTTTGTTTGAAGTGTCTTAAAGCTCAGAAAGGCAGTACTGTCTGAACTGATTCTCTGTGTTCAAGTGATGTGTGGTTTCCCAACATGTTTTGAGCACATAATCATTTCAGTGGGCCTGTATTTAAGAGGCTCTTGAATCACCTCATTATGGGTTATGAGCTCTTCTCTTCCCTCATTCAAAATTGCCACCTGTTGAGAACTGATTTTAAGTGGAGTGTAGGGACAAAAATAAAGCTATTGAAAGCTTGTTGTAAAATACCAAATTATTATGGTTCTCGCTACATGTAGCTGTCCATTTTGAGTTTTTATGTATTTTTAGCCATTAAGTGCAGTGGCCACCACAAGCAGGAAGCGCTGCGAGGCGGAGAAGAATAGCAGGAAAGGAGCATACAGTCCAGCCAACCAGTGTTTTACGACGAGTTTCAGATCCCACCAGTACGCATTAGTAAACCTAAATCTCTAATAACCGCGTGTGACCGCAACTGTGTGGTGCAGGAAATCCTGCATTCCGTTCAGCTTGACTATCCATACTTACGGTGTCATCAGAAGCATGAACTGGACTTTATCAAAATATTAAAGAAACTTTGTATAGAACCGCCGACTTCGTAACAGGAAGGGCTATCCAAACCTTTATTTCCCAGAGAAACACGCAGTAAAAACAAATCCCGTTAGTTCCTAAGTGAAGTTGAGCGCGTGGCCTGGTCCAGTTCGCGGGTCTTGTTGGTACAGTCCAAAGAGAGCGTTCAGGGCAATAACTCCATCATAACTTATTATCATATTCCTCTTCCTCGGTCAGTGTTCCCTCGTCAGGACCTCGAACCACTTCTACGTCTGTGCTTAAAGTCACAGAGGGTGGGGTTTCAAAACTTTTCTCTCAACAGGAAAGGAGTCAGATGACAGGCCACGGTCAAGCTACACGTAATACATGACTTCACTTCCGCTTAGTGTCAAAATAAAAGTCGCTTAGACAGTCACAGTTGAGACCTTTATATATATAATACAGTCTATGGTTGAGACTAATGGCCAATGGTGGAAGAAGTAGGCCTACTCAGATTTTAAACATAAGTAAAATTAGCAATACTGAATTTTAAAAATACTCTGTTACAAGTAAAAGTCCAAGTCAAAATCTTAATTAAATACAAATATAAAAAACACCCAAGTACCAAAAGTAAAAGTACTTGTGTGTCTTATGTTTAAATTAATGGATTATGATTATCAATACATTATGTTTTCATCACAGCTGCTAAAGGTAGAGCTTTATATACTTTTTATGTTTACTGTTGCTGGATATCTTCACCTATTACTATATGTCAATGTTGATGTATTAGTTGATTTATATTTTCTAATCATAAACTATAGGAAATAAAGCTGTCAGATAAATGTAGTGGAGTAAAAAGTACAATATTGGCTTATAACATGTGTGTAGTATAAAGTAGCAAAATGTTGAAATAGTCAATGAAAGTACAAGTCTCTCAAAATTGTACTTAAGTGCACTACTTGAGTAGATGTACTTCATTTCATTTCATCACTGCTAACGGCTGGGGGAATTTTTAAAAGCTGTGTGCAGGAGTTTTCCTAAAGAGGAACAAAATACCAGCAAAGTCAGCAAAAAAAGAAAATGGTAATTCAATGCAAAAACTCAATAGAACGTTTGGTAAAAAGGAAATCGGCTACTGAAATATGATACAATTCCTGTATCTCAATCAGCCTAAATAATTGTGGGCAACAATCTCAAACTCAGATGAGATACAACATCATAAGTATATGTATCTAGATATTATTATGTGGCCCAAGGACAATATATAAATGAAAACAATAACTACATGTGTAATCAGCCTAAGAATCACTGATTTACAATGCATTCTCTGTGTAGATGTGTTGGTCATTTTTTATTGATGCTTTCGACACTCAAATAAAAATAATAAAATGAGCCTCCATTCTGGTCATTAGAACACCTATCATAGTGCACAGATGAGCAGTATAATGATTTTCATTATGTGGTTATCATTTTATAATGTAATTCCTATTTGTGAGGTAAAACCACACATTTCATTTAATTCACTATGAATGTTTTCTTGACAACATGTGACAGTTTAGCCTTTTATTTTGAAATTCAAACTTCACGTCCTATTCGGTTATTATGCCCTACTTAACACTGGTGATTACAGATTTTTAAGAACCTAAAGATTAAGATTCTCAAATAAAAATGTGCCAAAAGCTAACACACAGTCATTAATTAAGTATAATATAAATATAGTTGTCAGCAAATAATTAACATTTTTCAGCAAATAATGTACCCAAAATGTACTAAAATACAACCAATTCTGAAAAATAGAATACATTAAGACATTATTTATACTTGTCTTTAGCAGGTCAATGTACAACATTTTTATGCATATAACCTCTTTTTCAATGTATGGTTAGTTAAAGTACATGCCATTTCCTGTATTGGTATTAACACCCTCTTGAATCAGTTGAGCTATTATGCTTAAATTATATTTAGTCCAAGAACTCAAGGACAGTTAGTCATTATAAATTGTCCCCATAGCCAAAGAAAAGAGAATAAAGTGCTGCTGTTATGTTTCTATGAGGAGACATTTTCTTTTGTCTGGTGTTACTTTGAACAAAAAAGGAGTTCCACATTTAAAATCCTTCGGCGTGCAGCTGGTTTAATGTTCTTCATGCAGTTTGATGGGCTACTTATCCGACTGAGGTGGAAGAGCTGTTATTGAAATTTCACTGAAGTGGAGTCGGATTTACTGCTGTACAGATCTCCTCAGGATAAAGTCAAATGAAGCTCATTTCAAAGTTTTAAACCCTGGGAGAACAGTCTCACTTTGATTATAACCTTTCTATTTTGAAATACTAAAGAGTTCAACTTTTGCTGACCTGGGATGCAATTTTGAAATGTCACTTAAAGGCTACACATTTGTCCTCCTCTGTTATGACTCATTATATCCAATAATACGGCCCATGGAAGCCCATTTCCACAAGGAATAAAGAAACACAACTACATTATAAGATGCTATGTTATTTAGTTATTTACAACATGCATAATGTTAATGTTCATTTCTCTCTTTTTGGGTGGAAATGGGCTTTATTACAGCCTAAACATTCTTAACCAGATTTTTTTTTAAACACTAACAAATGAACACTATCAACAGAATGGGAAAAAGTAGCAGTATGTATTGTGTTGCAGAGAGTCAACATGAGGGGACCAGGAAGTAAAGCTCATAGTTTGTTAATGGATTAAATCCAAAATCCAATTATTGCCCTATGTTGTTAGTTAGATGTTGGCTTTTTTATGTTTTAAGTGATATATGTACTTTTAGATCTTATGGACCCAGTAGGAGAAATGTTGCCCTTGTGCATGTGACCAGGTATTGCACATTGCACCTAAAGTAAACAGAAACATGCTTTAAACAACTAGGTCAACAGGCTATGCTGGTGTTTATATGTATTTCCACAGCTATCTCAGGATTTCTACTGCAGATGCAAATCTTAAAAACATTATTTATTTTTAAGGCTAAGTAAAACAAAAAAAATCAGTTAGCTACTGAGGTATTTAACAAGCATTCTCCAACAGGAGGGAGTGGTACAGTTGTTGGGGACTAGGTGTTCCCGCACCAACACTCCCAGGCATGTGGTCAGTGTGATTCCATGGCAAGAGACGCTCTGTCGTTTATTCATGCTCTTTCCTGTGTGTTCCTTTTTTGATTTGAACGTGCTTGGAGTTTTCCCATGTGTACAATAGGAAATGTGCCGTAAAAATAATGTTTGCCATGGCTTACTACCTGTGTTTTTGGAATGTATGATACTGTGTGTCCAGTGGTGGAGAGTAAAACAGTACATTTACTCAAGTACTGTACTTAAATACAATTTTGAGGTACTTATGTGAGTATTCTCAGTTTATGCTACTTTGTACTTTTACTCCACACTAAATTTTAAAAGACAATATTGTACTTTTTACATTTATTTGACAGCTTTATTAGCTTAGGTTTAGATTAGCATATACAAAATCTAAACACATAAACATAATAGTAACCCAGTAACTGAATATATATACGATTCTGAAATGGGCCATTATGCATAAGGGGTACCTTTTACTCGTGGTACTTTTGACACCTATACTTTTGTATCTTTACCTAATTAATATTTGGAATGCAGGACCTTAACTTGTACTTGAAGTATAGCTACTTTTGCTTAAGTAACTAATCTGAGTAGCCTACTTCTTCCACCCCTGTATGTCAGAATATCCCACAAAACACATTGAAGCAGGGACATGCTGCTTTATATAAAAATTGCCTACAGCACAAATTATATTAGTGAGTTAGTTCCCAGAGTGCATTCTGATTAAGACCACAGCTTGGCTTAGCCACGGGATGCATTTTATGTTTTGTAGCCACACAATTGAAGACTTTTATTCTTGGAAAAGGTCAGGGAATCAACATTTTGCCACATTTTCCCAGGTTTCCAAAGCTAGGAGTGGCTGGGAATCAGAGGGCCATTGGCCCCCCCGGCAGCCGTGTGGAAACAGTGTGCTTCCTTCTGTTCGCCCCTTTGATGCCCCCCCCCCCACTTACCCTCCCTCCTTCCTTGCCCCATGGCTGCCGTTTGTTTGGACACCAACCTCCTAAAGTCAACCACCTACACCCTGCTCCCTCCCACACACACACACACACACAGCTAACCCCACCCTCCTCGCAGTCCGCTGAGTCAACGCTTGTGCAGGAAGGATGCAGTTGTTTTTGCGGCCCCGGCTCAGGGTTGCTTGGTCTAGAGAGGGGGGGGGGGGGGGGGGGTAGATGAGACGGGTGCATTTACACAACAGAATGGACTGTTTGGAAAAATAAAGAAGGCAGCAGGAAGAGGAAAGGGGCGGGACACACTGTGGGCCAAGTGTGCCGGCCACTTTAAAGTGTGTCCATGACGGTGACAATCGCCTCTCTGTGAACAACGTTCCACAAACCTGTACCGTCTTGTACTTATCTGATTTAAATACCAGAGGAGGCTGCTGTGTGGAGGATAAAACGCAGCGCTGGTCTTTCAGGTTCAGGCACTGCGAGTAAATAAACATGATATGAATCCATGGGAAACTTTCAAAATAAAGAACTCAAAAAGTGCAACGGCGTCAGGACTACAAAGGATGAGATCCATGCCTATGAAATTGAAAAATTACCACTTTGAAATATTTAGCTTTAAGATGCCACGGGAGTCATGTTTTGCCCAGTGAATAAAGAACTGTCTAAAGATGAATGCCGTCTCAGATTTGCTTGATGTGGAAGGCTTTTCATCTCCGATATGGAAAACACAACAAACCCCAAACAAGCGTGGCTTATTTTTCTTAAATTGAAATATGAACTTTATTTTTTACCCATACAAAATAAAAAGAATGTTAAAAGTTTACAATACAGTGTCAACTTCAAATGTCTATTCGGAAACATTTCATACTGAGACTGACACATAACTGGGAGCCCCATCTTTGTGTTTTTCAATGGATACATTTAAAACAATCTAAAAAGAGGTGGGGGGAACAAAATGTTGAAAATAATTCCAAAAATAGGAGGGGTGGCCAGAATAGAAATGAGAGTGGACAAAGGAGACAAACAACTTTAAAAACAAAGTTATGGTCCAAGAGTCACAATATACTTCTGATGGGCGATCCGGGGGAATTAAATGGTGCTATAAAATAATATATTATAGCACTAAGCTAGGACAGCGTGGAAAAAGAAAATGACCCTGCTGATATGGTTGGCTGTTTGTAGTTTACTTGATAAAACCTGAATTAAAAATAGAAACTGATTGAAAAAGGCTGTGGTTAGCTAACCTATCGTAAAAATACACCTGCTTCCTTGTTTACGTTGCAGCCCGACAATCGGACTGACTAGTGAGTTGTGATAAAGCCTGGAAGTAGGGCTCACATTAACAGCAGTCACTCATAGCCAATTGATAACGTGGTAATATAACACTTTCTGGGTGAGACAATGACCTCCGTTCCCTTTGTCCAGTGTGCATCACCTTCCTAACACTTTGGAAACTGCTGCCCCTGAACTTGTCTCTTAAGGCCTTGACTGCTGCTGATAGGTTTTTCTTGGGGGCTGATCTTGAGTGACTTGTCCACATCATAATGTCTACTACTGGGAATTGAGGAAAAAGAAAAAAAGTGCCAAATGAAAAAGCTACAAAGCAACACAAACCACACCTATCCTGTCCGTGGGGGCTCATGGCAAAAACAGTGACGACTGCCATTTCTTTCAGTCAACGTTAAAAAACAACCTCGTCGGATTCTCTTCTACAATCAAATAAAACCGCATTAAAAAAAAGGAAAAAAACGAAATTAAAACACATAATATACAGCCAGTTTTCCGTCTCCTGCGACTTTGTCTTTTTTACAGCCGAGGGATTTGCTGTCAGCGACGAAGAGTCTTTCCCTCCTCAGTTGGAGCAGCCGCGAGGACAACTTAAGAAATCTGAAAATAACATAGAAAGAGTGTGTGTGTGTGTGTGTGTGTGAGTGGTGGTGGAGGAGAAGGAGGAGGAGGAGGAGGGGAGCTAAGAGTCATAGTCTTCGTCGTCGTCATCCTCCTCGTTTTTGTGCGGCTCCGGGGCGGGGGGAGGTGGTGCGACGCTGATCATGGAGGGGTGGGGGGCGAAGGCCACGGCGCCCTCCGACTGTGTGGGAGCCATGCTGCCCGGCAGGGGCGTGTCCTGGGGGGGTGCTGTTGGGCTGCGGGGGGAGACGAGTAAAACAGATGTCAATCAAATACAATTTAGACTAAAGACTAGTTATATACAGAATGTAATTCATATTTAATACATGGTACATATTTAATGCTGCTACTAATATTTTACTGGGGATGTGTGTGTTTTATTTTTTAATTTTATTAGCCTGTGTTTGCGTCTTTTTTAATATATATCTACACTAATAATTGTTATCTTTTTATCTGCACTGTATCTCTGCTGTTGTAAATGTACCTGCTGTGGGACGGATGATGGATTTGTGATTCTGATACTCCAATGAGTCAGTAAACAAAAATAAATCAACATATTTTATTCCAACAAGTATGATAAATGTGGGCAATAGATTTAAATGTCACTACCAATAAAGAGACAAAAATATTATTTCCATGGACCTTTTTTTCTACATTGCAATTGTCCCGGTGATGAGAAGCTTATCCATTTCCATAGTGTCTAACCACATCTTACACTTTTTTTTTTGCACACTTTATATGGAAACGTATGCAATGCAAATATAAAATATACAAAAAAACCTGCTTAAAATACAAAAGTAATGTGGAATTAGCCCACAGCAAGAGCTGTTTCTAGAGGAAAAACAGCGCCACCTCCCTGTCCACCGGATATCTGAACATCATTTTTTTATAATTTACAATAGGAGCATTGGACTTACAGTGGACATAATGAAACCAAACAGCTCATTCATCTGTTGTTAAAGTGAGACTTTTTCAATGTTGAAAGAAGAAAAAACACATCTTTTGTATTAAAATGATAAGTAAAGATATGATACATACCATTGCTCAATTAAACAAACTTTTTCAGATGTAGGCCGTTTCTCAATGTCGAGTACACATGCTGCAGAGCCACTATTTCAAGTATACTACGTCAGAGTGGCGCAAAATGCTGGGCATTTAACATGCATTTAAACAGTCCTTCGGCGCCACTCGATGACGTAGTATACTTGAAATAGTGGCTCTGCAGCATGTGTACTCGACATTGAGAAACGGCCACAGTGTGGCTAATCTTAGCAAAATTCTGACTGATATTGTTCTGTTACCTACGTTTCTGACTGCTTTGATAACCTTAATTGTTGTGCTACAGTTACTGTGATTGTATTGATTTATATGTGATGGGTCCATACCTGTGGAACCTGGATGCAGCCTGCAGGTTTGTGCTTGACTGAGAGCCGTCCTCCTCGTCCCCGTCCGTCTCGCTTTCTTCTGAGTCATCCTGTTTTATCACAAAAAACACACCAGTGAGACTTCTTACCTCACACACACATCATTGCAACTGTACGAAATATCCTTTATAGGCTTGGAAATAAAGTATTTTTCTGTGCTCATAATGTCCAATTGCATGTTCCGGATGATACAACTTGTGGATAGCTTTTGTTCTCTGCATGCAAATAAATCCCCACCTCCTGCTCTGACTCTGTGCCAGACAACTTCTTGTCCTTTCCTTTGGAGCCAGCCCCCCCATTCTTGCGGCCAGACCCGGGTTTTCTACCCCTTTGGGAGAAGACAAAAAAGAACATGTGGATTATTCGAAAAAAACAAAACAATTCTGATGCAGGGAATGATCTTTCCAACACAGCTAGAAAACATTACTTTCAGTTATTTATATTCAAAACATGCTCCACATGCCCACAGCTGAGACGATGTTTAAAATAAGATCAGTTTACAACTAATTTTAATTTAATCACAATCGAATCAGCAACACTCTTTGAGGTTTTCACTTAATTTATGTGCGATTCTCTGCCAAGCCTTCCGCTTCTATTTAGCAGTTCCAGTGTTTGATTTGACAATCAATAATGCTTTCTTCCTTCTACAATCCTCAATAATTAGTTTTCTTCTCTTGTTGTTTTAATCTACTTTACTTTTTTGTCTAAATCACAAACGGAATGGAGATAAGGGGAAATTGTTAAGATAACAGACATTTGGCCTTAGTCAATTTAAAAGCAGCAGCTGGAGCTCGAAAGGCAAAAGGTAACTTTGTTTCCATATAAGGAGTTAAAATGTGTGTGCATGACTTATCAGAAATTAATGAGTGAAAAATCCTGTGGTATACCAGATTAATGAATCAACTTTATCTGCACGACAGACAAAGCTATTATTGTTCTATTCCTTTTAGTTATCATGCCATACAAGCATGTCAGTGTGTGTATGCGTGCGTGAGAAAGAGACACATACCTGCGTGGGACTTTTTCTCCACCCCCCTCGGTGTGGTTCTCCTCCCCCTCGCCCTGCATGTCTGGCACAGTTGCCACCAGGTCTTTCAAGAAATCAAACTGTTGCTCCAGCTCGATACACTGCTTTCTGTGGAAACACAATGTCCAAGTCAGCACACTGCTTTCTCCACAGACTCGCATGCATTCTGCTTTGAGTAAAGAGTCGTACCATCAAATTACATCTGTGGTATGTCAGTCAGAATGAACTGAGCAGAGGACGACTCCCAAACAAGTCCAACTCCAACACAGTGCAATCTAGACCAGGTTATTTATCAAGACACACAAACACAGAAACTTACAGATGCGATGTTGTCATCGTCTTTGCATTCCTAGACTGGGTGACTTGACAGGCCTTTGTAAGCAATGATTCCAAAAAAAGCTCCAGGGCTCTCGCTGACATCTTAGATAAGGAAATGTATATGCAACAGGTTTGCTGACTTTATCAATAACTAACTAAATAGTTTAATCATTTTCTGTTTGACTTGTTAACAAAGTTAATGTTTAAACTTCCAGTCAGATCATTAGTTTAATGACCTAAATGCCATGTAGACAACTTAATAAAATCAAACATACTTTTGTGGATTCAAAACAAATACTGATGATTGATACTTGGAACATGCACAGTGAAGCTTTTTGTCAGGAAGGATACAGATAATAACAGGTACTGCTGCAGCCACTTTGCCTATTTCTTCATCCGTCTGCATAATCTTCTTTATCCTTGCCTGTAAGGACAAAAAAGTCAATGCATTGACACACATTTGGAAATAATGAAAAATAAACTTTTAAAGAATGTTTAAATGTATGAACAATGCTTGTTAACTAGGGTAACTTATTACTCATACACATTAACGGTACAACACATTTTTGGATAGTCGGTTCCCTGATACGAGGACTTTCATTGCATGCATGTTTAGCCCTTTTCATCACTGTCCTGTATTATAATGTGTGTGCTATCAAAACACTCACAAACAACGGATTTGCCAAGATGTATAACGTTAAGTCTCACTTAGCTTGGCATGCTAAAAACAACGCTAACTGCTGGACTCGCTAGCTAACTTGCGTTGCACGCCTAAACTGTACCATAGCAAACACTGGGACGCAAAGTAAATGGGACAACCAATTATAAAAGCAATTCCGTTTTAATAATGGCACTAATACAACTTACATTTGAGTTGTAAAGGTTTGCGCTTGTTAGCTTGTTAGCTATTTAGGCAAGCAGACAGGCCAAACCCCGGTCAAGCTTGCTAGACAAGTTAGCTTTCCATCACACAGTATGCTAACGCTGCCTACTCTCAACACCGGTTCAGCGAAGTTTAAACTCACCGGAGGGAATCTGGCGTTGTATTTCTTCTTTTTGCTTGGCATAATTAAATAACCCGGGTGGCTTCCCTAAATTAAAATGGAATACACTGTGAAATATTATTCTATATTGTATAAATCAGCCCCACCGCGCACACACTTGATAGCGATAGCTACCCTGCTAACTCGTTAGCACGTCGTCACTCGTTCCCCGTTGGCTGGTTGCTGGGCTTGGTTCCGCATGGTCCCAGTGCCGTCATTTTTGATCAACTTTGTACAGGATTAAAATGTAAACATGATTGTAACAGTAGTTGGAAAAGGGTAACAGACCATGGTCAGTATACACCACAGAGTTGTTGGCATTGGTGTTGTCATTGAAATGGATAGAGGAGAAAGAAATACATAATAGTGTAATTGCATCTGACAGCTTTTCAGCATTATCGAGTATACGATCAGGCAGATCTTCATTTAGAATGGACATAATAAATGAAATATTTCTAATTTTATATAAAATGCAAATCAAAGGCATAGCAACTCGTTTCATCTGGGTTCCTGCTCATGTTGGTGTGGAGGGTAATGAACAGGTGGATATTCTGGCCAAACAAACACTCAGAATTATGAACATAGACATAGAAGTTCCACTTAGCAAAGCGGAGGTTAAAACATTCATACAGAAATATGCACAAACAACATGGCAAGAACATTGGGACCTTAGTGATACAGGAAGACATCTTTATAAAATTCAAAGGTATGTGGGGGATGGAATTGGTGGGGTTTAAAAGAAGGGAGGAAAATGTCATTTCTCGGATAGGTCATACAGGTCTCAATCATACATAATAGGAAAGCATCCAACCGGAAAGTGTATACACTGTAGCCAGCCAGAAACTGTTGAGTATGTTTTACTGCTTTGCAGGAAATATAGTACTCAAGAGAAATTTGCTTTTCCAGACACTGAAGAAAGCAAAATTCCATGACTTGTCGCTATCAGGGCTGTTAGGGAAAACACCAGGCAATATGTATTGTGAGATTATTACGTTTCTAAGAGAAATTGATCAATTTAAAATAATTTTGAGTTTTGGTTCTTTATTTTATTTAATTTCTTTTGTTTATTGTTTTCTGCATAGTCTCTTGTCCACACTCCAGTCCAGTTGGTGGCGGTAATGCACCTACAAGTTGGTTTGCCAACCGCCAATAAACACCAAAGAAGAAGAAGAAGAAGAACAGTAGTTGGACCCCCTGGTTGAACCCCCCTAACTGCAGTGTGCAACAATAACACAAATAAACTTCGTTTTTACAAACCCCACATTGTACTTTATTTGTATTAACACAGCTTGCGCACCTCATATTTATGAACATATTTAATTTCCGAGGTAAACTTGTGTAATGTAGCACTGGTCTATAGGCGAGAGAAGGCACTCATGTTAAACTGGGTCATTTTGATGGAGTTTGTCATACAACTCTTTGATACAGAGGTGTGTCAGATGTGAGAATACATTGAAGTTCTTCTAAATTATATTTTGGCTGCTCAAAGCACATGTACCGTAACTGCACGAATAGCTGAGCAACATAATCTAAACGGCAACTAGCTTTACCGCAGTCAGTTAGTGCTGCGCGTGAGCGGAAGAACAACACTGGACAACCAACGCCATCACCTGCAGGTACGTTAAGCCTCAACGTCCACAGTTTGACATCTTACCTATTATCCACATGCAAATTATTTATATTAAAACGTTAGGTGTGATATCAAGCTTGCGGTTACGCTACAACCCTTCTTCAAAATTGCAAAGAATGTAACCGTGGACGATTGTTTAATGGCTAGCTAGCCGTTTAGCTAGCTTCAAATATATTTTCGTGTTTCGCTTCCTGTTAACTGTATAACTTAAAACACACAATTGATAAAAAAGCTTATTTATAGCAATTCACTTTTGTTGGACAAACGTTAGCTTTAGAACCAGGTTTGCTAATGTGGCAGGCTAGTAAGTTAGCAACATTAGTACAGGGTTGCCAACTTTGGGTACCTGGCTGGAGTGAGATTTTGATATCATGGGTTTAATTACACATATGCGCACGAAATGACTGCTATCGTGTCAGCAGCGGGACCTTAGCATATATATAGGATATATATACAATATATACAAATACACAATAATGGACACAGACTATAAAGGGCACACAGTTTCATTCACTAATGAAAGTCAAACATGTTTGTTTCCACTGTTTTATTGTGTGCCTGTCGCGATAAGCAATTAATTGACTTATCGTACGATAAATAAAAATGAACTCGATAACTTTTCTGACCTCGATAAATTGCGATTTACATGAGGATGTGACTAGCAGTTTGAAAGGATGTACTTGAATTATTATTATATATTATCATTATGTCAGTGGTCTAAAATGGTCATACAACGGTGCCGACAATATTATCGTTTATCGCAATCATTTCCGGGAAAATGTATCCAACAAAATTAATTATCGTGAGAGGCCTATACATGAAACACACACACACAAACAAATCTACAGACTTACTCCAAACTGCCAAATATATTAATTAACACACTCTCACTCTCATATACTCTTTGACTCTATTTTGGCCTAGTAGAACAATAAGCAGCAGACTTTTACTTTTTTATAATTTCTACTGGATCTTAGATCTGCGCATGCGCAATACGGGTCGGCAGTTGCGGCTCCAGAGTATTTTTGTTGGGTAATCTATGGTAGGGCTAACCCATACAGTGGTGGGGCTCAAGTCAGTATTCGCAATGTAATTACATACACGCTCCCCCCGACAGTGAAACGCCACGCGTGAGGTTTAGATTATTTCCCTGTCTCAATCCAAATTGAACTGTATGAAATAAAAAGGCACATTTGTCTTGTAGTAAATACAAAGGGCAACCTGGAGCCAATCCTGCAATTTCCCCACAGGTGAAAGAGTTGACATGCTGAAAACCCAACCCCTGCAGGGGGGTCTGGGGGGATTGTCCCCCAGGAGATTTCTTGAAATACTAACATAAAATACACATTCTTGTACTCTCTTGAGAAGAAAAATAAATAAATCTATTACTACACGACATATTTAAAAAAATGAATGCCATTTTAGTTTTTTGTGACTTTGTTCTGAAAGCTGAACCTGCTGCTCCTCACAGAGAGAAGAGGGAAGAGGCTGTGTGAATTACTTTACATTGTGGATAAGGGTGGATAGCCCCCATTGTTCTGTGTGTCAAAATGAAAGACAGCCCACACACCTATCAATCATCAAACCGTGGGGTCTTATTTCATTACGTGTTGATTTCTATCAACACGTAATGTGGTATCGATGTATAGAGATGTACTACAGCAAAAGTATTCTCCGTCGGGACTTCCTGCAACAACACCACGCCGTTATTGTGATTCTGATTGGCCAGAAGACATTATCAAAGATGTTCTATTGAGAAGACGATCACTACGTGACAAAAGTTTTCAAAACCGTTTCTAGTCTTCGGTATTCTTGTTTTTGGCGTGAGAATAGTTTGGGCAGCGTGAGAGCGTGAGATTGAGAGTGAAAGCGTGTGTCACACGCCAGATGCGTGAGAGTTGGCAACCCTGCATTAGTAAACAATCCAGCGGTTCACTTTAGCCTAGATTTGGAAATAGTCCAAACTAATCGATAATGTGCACATTTGATTTTAATGACCATTTTAATAAAGAACGCATTTCTCATTTCAACAGGGTAAGACGAAGGACTTGTTCAATTCCCCTAAACTAACAGCAACATGGAGGAGGAAGGGGCCCCTGGAGGTGTCGAGGTGGCGACTCCCTTCGCTGCAGAGACCTATGCTGCTGAGGCCATGGCTGCAGACATGGACCCGTGGATTGTGTTTGACTCGAGAAGAACTCCCAGATCCGAGTTCGATGCCTGGCTGAAGACCAACGGGCCCTCCCAAGTGGACAGATTTGGCAATGAAGAAGGTGGAGTGAGCCCTGTGGGGTGGATCGCTGTGCTGGGCCTGAACCACTGCCCCAGCGTTGGGGATGTCACTGGTCTGCAGGAGAGCTGGGAGAAACTTTTGGCCAGCGGCCGGCCAGCCAGCTTCCAGACAGTGAAGGAGCTGGCCCTCAACCACGGAGTGCTCACAGGCAAATGGCTGATGCACTTGGACACTGGTTTCAAGTTGGACAATGCCTGGGAGTGTGTGGCGAGAGCGGCCCTGGATGGCAAGATCTCCCTAGTTAAAGTCAGTCCGCATAACCCCAAGGGAGAGGGCAAGCAGGTCATTTGTGCCTATAACGAGAACTTCACTGACGAGAGCGAGGTCTTGAGGCTAGACTCTGTCATCCGTGCCGCAGGGGTCAAGTGCTCTCTCACCTACAAGCCAGATGTGTACACATACCTGGGAATCTACAGAAACAACCGCTGGAAACTCTGTCCGACCATATACGAGAGCAAATTTGACCTGGAGTGTGTGCCCCGCCGTTCACACATTATCAACAGAGTCACCAATCTTGAAGTAACATAAGTCTGTCAGAAGAAGAGGGTAGTTTTGTAGGATGAAGAAGCACTTCTTGATCCCACGAGCCGACTGTGCTGTACAGCTCACTGACAAATGCTTTTGAATGTCAGTCGCTGAATTTTGATCTCCAGTTCTTCCTTTTGGCAAAAAATGATCTAATTTATACTTGTTTTCATGCTGTTATATTTCCAAAGTGACCGGAACGGTTGTCACATATTTTGTTATGATTATAATGTGTTCATAAGTAAGAAAATGTGTGTTCTTCATGTTGTACCTGATGGACAGGGTGAAAAATCTTGATTTGTATTCAGAGAAGCATTTGTTTTTTGCTTTTACAATATGCATTTGTCTAATCTTTTGGGCTTTATTTTTTCATTAGTACTGAACCATGATAACAGAGTTGCCAAATAAAGTCTACTTTTGAAGACAATTTTTATACGTTGTAGGTTTTATTGCCAAGAAAAGTGTTTTGAATTTTGACAGAATGAATCATTCATAACAGCAAAAAGGCACATATAGTATGTTTACATCATACTATTATAAAATGGCATCTGAAAGCATTTTTTTACTACAGAGTAAAGCAAGTTGACATACAAGTCTTTAAGGTAAACTGCAGCCATAACTTATGAAATAACTGTAGAAAAACGGACCAGAGGCAGACAGCAAAACATAATCTGATACAGCTCTGAGTGTGAGCTCCTGCTATAAGCATGTACTTATTAATGTAGCTTGAT